ACTCTGGGATAACGAGGGCAATGTTAAGAGGATGCTTCACTGGGGAGTGATAAGGAGAGAGGATGGAGAGGTAAATTCAGGTACAGAGTTAATCCCTGCTATATGGCCCATTCCCACTGCCTATCACATCCCATCACATCACCCCACGTTGAGCAACCCCGGGGCATTTGCCCTCTCTCCAGGAAAATCTGACCAGATAAATTCCTCGCTATCCAGCAGAGCTCAAAGCAGTGGGGGAAAGGAGGAGAAAAAGCAATATACCAGGCCACAATATAGTGCTATCTATAAATATTTCACCAGGAAAGGTATGCAACTGGTATTTTGAACAAATCCCCAGCCACAGTTTTAATAAAGTGCCTTTAGCATGCCACTCTGCCGTGTTTAAATCTAATTCCAGTTGTCAGTCAAATCGCTGTGTGTTATTAACCTATGGGCATAATTGCCTATTCCAAGTCTGCAGCTCTAAGAGGCTTTATGTATGATTGTAATAAATGAAATAACTTTTATGATTCCGACTCATCACCGAACACATTGACATTGAAAATTACACGTGCACAGGCATTACTTTTGTCTTTCCCTGCGTGAGATATTTATCGGAGCGGCTGCGGCTGCGGAGGAAGACCCGTGTTTCAGCAGGGAAATGACTGAGCTCCGCATTAGCTCATCTCCACAGCTGCTGCCACACGGAAACACTCGGGTTGAAAGGCAAAAAATCTCCATGAAAATGAGCCAGCGTTCATAAAATTGCCACCGTGCGCATCCGAGACGGAGAATTCCTCGTACCCTGCCTTGGCCGGGGCGATTTGTATCAGATTTAGGCACTGATGGATGTTGGTTCTCCATCCCCAATCTCCTCTCTCTCACCCATCATGTCATATTTTGTGCCTCTAGGAGGAACTGATGCTGCAGGGGTGATTGGCTTGTTGGTTTATCTTTAATTTCTCACCACTAGGGCAAAGTGAACACAAAATTCAAAAGGCAGAGACAGTGTTTTCCAGACTTTTTGTGCTGCCAGAAACCACAGTAGAAGTGAAGGATCAGTGACTACCAAAGGATCTAGGTGCTGTGAGCAATAGATCCCCAAAAGTATAATCTCAACCTCTCTTGAGGGACTTTACAAGAGGTTATGGCCCCATGAGCAGTGATTTATTGTTCAGTCTGGAGAGGAGAAGGCTCCAGGGAGACCTTGGAGCTCCTTCCAGTGCCTAAAGGGGCTCCAGGAGAGATGGAGAGGGACTTGGGATAAGGGCCTGGAAGGACAGGACAAGGGGGAATGGCTTCCCACTGTCAGAGGGCAGGGTTAGATGGGATATTGGGAAGGATTTCTTGGCTGTGAGGGTAGGGAGGCCCTGGCACAGGTTGTCCAGAGAAGCTGTGGCTGCCCTATCCCTGGAAGTGTCCAAGGCCAGGTTGGTTGGGGCCCTGGAGCAACCTGGGATAGTGGAAAGTTTCCCTGTTCTAGGTGATCTTTAATAGTCCCTTCTAACCCAAACCATGGGATTCTGGGGTTGTATGATTTTATAATCTTGGCCTGCTGAACTATTTCCTGGGTTGGCAGAGAGATGGGAGTGTCCAGGGAATGGTTTGTTTTGGAGACAACAGGCATCACACAATGGGATTCTCAAGTACGAGAGGATCTTTGGGCAGCTGAGATTTGGCAGGGTGAATCCCATTCCTGCAACTCCTCTACTTCCCAAACCTAAAGGCTGCTGAAGAGTGATTGGGGCACTTGGAAAACACTTGCTGAGGACTGGACCCTGCTTAAAATACTGCAAAGGGTAGGAGGAGTGTTCTCCACTGAGCCTCCAGACTGTTCCCAGCTCCTTAAATATGCTCAGGAGAGAGACAGCAAGAGGGGGTAAATCCTCTAGCCAGGCTGCTCAGGCCTTGCTTTGGGTTCGGGGACAGATTGTGCTGCTGGTAACCTCCAGTGACCAACCACTGGGGCATTTTGTCCTCTTGTTATCCTGCATTTTGGCTTAAACAATCCCAAAACTCCCTGAGAGAGACTCAGTGCAGCTTTCTCACTTGAACACACAGTGCAGGGCAGGAAGGGTCTGGACTCCTGCTAATGTGGTTTTTAGTGCTGGGACAGGTTCAAGTCCTAAAATGAGGATGTTTCCACTGAACAGTAGGATGGACATTTTATGGATAAGGGTTCCTGGGGCCAGCATAGGTGTGTTATTGTATCACAATCTGTAGGTTCACATGAGTGAATGCTACCACTCAAATCTCTCCTGGCATTGGTAATGATTAAAGAACTGTGATTTCACTGGGCATTATGTCACCATGACTCCCTTGGATGAGGGTCCAGGTAGTGTCTGAATGCTCCATGCCTCTTAAGATCCTCTTATTAAACTGTAGTCCCATCCCTAGAATGGTACACCCCATCCCTGGGAGTGTCCAAGGCCAGGATGGATGGGGCTTGGGGCAACCTGGGAAGGTGTCCCTTGCCATGGCAGGGGGCTGGAACTAGGTGAGATTTAAGGCCATTAAAACCCAAAGCATTCTGGGGTTGTATAAGTCTAAGAATCCATCTGACCTCATTGAGGTCAGGATCTGGCCCTCCAACTGCAGTGCAATGGGAGCCATGGGAAGCCCTCTTCTTTCCTCATCCTCTGGAACACAGGACCTCTTGCTTCAAAATAGCCCCATTCCCACCTCAGGACTCAGCTCCCTTTTCCCAATGTGCAGTGGTTTTTGGCTCTGGGCAAAGCACACAGGGAGCATTGCAGGTCCTGGGATCCCACAGCATCACCACCATCCCGTAATCACAGAGACTGGGGACCGAACACACACACAACTGTGCAAGTACCATGGAAACGGTGTATCCTCCATCACCACCAACCAGCAGGGAACGCTGGACACGCCTTCCAGCCCCGAGGTGGCAGGAATTGCCTCTCTCTCAGCCTCTGCTCCGGGGAAAGCTCACGGGCTTTGCTCCTTTGGTTCCTCCTCTCCCGGTCACGCTGCGCATCCCAGCAGCGCTGATCCTCTGGAGCCCCGCGGCCTTTTCAGCACAGCTCCTGATGGGATTTATTCTATTGACTGCTCAATTCTGGGCATTTTGGGTGATGGGAAAAATACATTTTGAGGGGCTGCTTTGAGATGTCTTAAGAGGGGAAACAGGGTGGCTCCTCAGGGTGTCCCCGCTCCTCAGGGAGCCGCGTTCGGCTTCCCTATTTGACCCCTTAATTTCCAACAGTGATGTCACTGAAATGCCTGTTCGTGGTCTCGCTGCCGGGCTAAATTTAGAGTGTTTGAGATGATTTGTGACTCTGTTGCTGGGGGGAGGCGGGGGGGGATGTCGGGGAATGACATGTGAGTCCTGTGTCATTGAGGCTTGTTTGGGCTTTGAAGACAGTGGAGTGGTGTGTGGAGATGACGGTGCTGTCCAGGAAGAGCAGAGAGGAAAAAGAATATGGGACTCTCTGCCCTTTTTATAGTCTAAACAATTTAATTGAACTCGTTGCTTAGCTGAGATGTTAAGAAAGGATTTTCCCCTCGAAATCTGATTAGATTTCCCAATAAAACGCCCACTTTGGCTGCTGCTGTTGGGGGATATGTTGGTTTGCGGTTCAAGGAGGCACATGGCGTAAAAATAAATGGAAAAAAGGAGCTGGATGTTGTGGGGATGTGGAGGAAAAGACCTTTCTGCTGGGAGACCATCATCCTTCATGGCTGGGCGAAGAGCAGAGCTGGACGGGGCTGACACTCAGCGGAGAGCTGGAAAATGAGGGAAATAGAGGAATTTCCCACATCTACCATTCCGCCTCCCCGCTGGAGCCAGAGCGTCTCAGAGCCCAGGCAGTGCTGCAGTGGCGAGCGAGTCGGTCAGGGGTGGGCGTGGGCAGGAGAAATAAAAATGGCATAAAATCGCAGATGGAAGGATCTGCACGTCCCACTTCCCTGCTCCATCCATCCCTTCCCTCTCCCCACATCACCTGAGGGTCCCTGTCCCCAGCCCTGCCGGCCCCTTACAGTGCACGACCTTGAGGCCAGACGCCTGAAGGTTATTTGGGGGCATCCCTATGTTAATCAAACCTCCTCACAAGCTGCTTAATTCCCCCCTATAATCCAACTGGGGATGGAGCCTGGCAGGTTTCGAGCCGTTATGTTTACATCGGACTGCGGGTGGAGGGAGGAAGGAGGGGACAGGGAGGGAGGGGGGAGCTGACGTGCCTGGAATAAAATCATGCCACCTCCTCCTCCAGCCCTCAGTGAAAAAATCAAACGCATCTGTCCACCCCCCCTCCCTCCACACCATTTCCATTTCCCTTCCCAAAGTGTCCACCCAGAAGAGGAGGGGCCGTGCTGCAGCTCCTCTCGAGGGGGCAAAGGTCTTTGAGAAACCCCCAGCCTGATTTATTCAGGGCATAGCAATATTTCTTGGGATTAGTATTAATAAGAGCCTCCTGCCCCCTCCTCTCCATCCCCCTGGGCCGAGCCTGAGGGAGGCAGCCGGGCCCCGGAGGGGTCCCAGGCCTCCGGCCTTCGGATGCGCAGTGATGGTGTCTCCTCATCCCGGCCGTTTTCGCAAGACATGAACAGGTTGTTTATTTATTTGGGGTTATTTAGGTCTTGTTTTTCTTTCCCATGCTGCAGCTTTAGAGGAAAATCCATTCTGCTGGAGAGGGCCGGGTGCTGCCGGGGCCGGCGGTGCAGCAGGAGGATGCTCGGCGCATAGTGCGGCGGGGCAGGGATCCGCCTGTGATCCCAGACAGAAGGCACCCCAAAGCTCTTTCTTTTTCCCCTTTTACTCACTAAACAGGAGCCCTCTGGCAATTCAGACTCTCCTGGAGGTCCAGGATGTGGAGGCGCCCACCCAGGGTCGAACAGGCGACCGTGGTGCTGCCGAATTGAAAGGCTGAGGTTTTTTATTTTGGGGCGGATTTTAATATTCATCCCCCACCTGGTCCTGAGAGCGGGTCCTTCAGGGGGGTCCTGCCTCCGCTGCCGGAAAGAGACGGGCGAGAAACCTCCGCGAACAAAGGAGAGGATGCGGGAACCCGCGAGGAAAGAGCTTTATTGGCACGGCACGACCCGACGGGCTCCTTGCGGCATCCGCACCCGGCGGGAGGAGAGCCCAGGGAGGGCTGTCCCGAAATACCTGCAGCACCCCGCGGGGGGGAGCAAAGAGGCGTCCCAGGGACCCCGAGCCGCTGTCAGTGTTCCCAAGGGCACCATTCCATAGGTGAGGGTCCGTGCGCGGAGCTGCAAAGAGAGATGGACCCCCCGCGCCGTCACCGAGGGCCCCCCAAACCCGGAACAGCTCCGAGGGGTGGGGGATTGTCCCCTCTGTAAGGCCCGTCCTCCCCCAGTGCGAGGCACCTGCTGGGAGCGCTGGGATGGGCCGGGATGAAGGGATGCGGGGCGGGTTGGCCTCCAGCTGCAGAGAGAAGGGAAGGAAGGAGAGGGATGGGAGAAGGGCAGGGAGGTGAAGGGCCCCAGCGGGGAGCAGGGCAGAGGGGTGGCGATGGCTAAAAAGGTGGAGAAAAAAAATGAAATAAAAATAAAAGCGTGAAAAAAGAGGGGGGTGAAATAAACCAGCGGGATATGGGGGCTGAGGGGGGAGCA